TTATCCGATTGATTAAATAATTCTGTAACTAGTGCAATCTTTAGCAAATTTTTTGTAATTAACATTAATGGAAATGTATGATGATAAAACTTTGTGGTGAAATTTTTGAAGCCTTCCAAAATATTGCGAAATCATGGATAGATAATTTTAGATCGCATTTTAGGGATAATTATTACAGAATGTGTGCATAAATGTACGAATGAATAAGTATAAGACTTTCTTCCGAGACCCCAACCCACAATATTTAAAAAAAAAATCAACAACTCCTTCCGGCCAGTTGCCCCATCTTATGGATGCCCCATTATTATTGCCCCATCTTATGGATGCCCCATTATTATTGCCCAATCTTATGGATGCCCCATTATTATTGCCCAATCTTATGGATGCCCCATTATTATTGCCCCATCTTATGGATGCCCCATTATTATTTCCCCATCTTATGGATGCCCCATTATTATTGCCCAATCTTATGGATGCCCCATTATTATTGCCCCATCTTATGGATGCCCCATTATTATTGCCCCATCTTATGGATGCCCCATTATTATTGCCCCATCTTATGGATGCCCCATTATTATTGCCCCATCTTATGGATGCCCCATTATTATTGCCCCATCTTATGGATGCCCCATTATTATTGCCCCATCTTATGGATGCCCCATTATTATTGCCCCATCTTATGGATGCCCCATTATTATTGCCCCATCTTATGGATGCCCCATTATTATTGCCCCATCTTATTGATGCCCCATTATTATTGCCCCATTATTATTGCCCTATCTTATTGATGCCCCATTATTATTGCCCCATCTTATGGATGCCCCATTATTATGGAGTTGTCTTATTTACCGCTCCGCACATAATCATTTTTTTTTAAGGGGGAAAAATAAAAAGGTTATTGTTTGGTATACATCAACATCCGGTTATCCTTTAACGCAGGGATCTCCAAACTACGGCCCGTAAGGCCCTCTCATGCGGCCCGCGGAGACCTTTTTGTCAATGGAAAAAAAATGACGGAAATGGACGTGTATCCTGCCAAGATCAGACGCCGCTTACGTGGACGTGAGGTTTTTACCGAATTAAAATAAAGGCACGCAGTAGTGCGTTGTGTTTTCTAACCGATCATTACTTTGCAAAACCTTATTGGCTGTTTAGTTTTTCTACTTCGTTTACAGTCAATTAAATGAGACCATATAACGCCATCTAGTGGCGGAGCTTTGCCCGCCGTGTTGCAGACATGGGTGAAAACATTGTGACTCAAATAGTGAAAAATGCAAGCAAGTTTCGCCAATTTTTTTATTGCAATGGATGAATCGCTGGAAAGCTGTTGCACCTCTCAACTGCTTGTGTTATTTAGGGGGGTGTGGATGAAGACTTGAACATAACACAAGAGTTTCCGTGCGTGTGATGTCATTATTTTGTTCCGTTGAGCCAGTGCTTCATAAAAATCATTGATAAAATTATCTGGCATTTAAATTTAATTTCCAGCGTCACCGTCATGGGCGCCCGCAGGGGAGGGGGGAGGGAAAGCACTTGCCCCCCCCCCCCACCCCCGGATTGATTGGTATTTTTTTTAAATCTGTTTTTTAAATAATTTCATTTCAGAAAATAAAGAGAAAGTAACTAAGCTGATGTCCTGTCCGTTCGTTCACCATACAAATACGCTACAGTAAATTAAAACTACATTAAAACTTAACTAAAAATTGTTTGCCCCCCCCTCCTAGAAAGTTAATCGATTTTTTTGCCCCCACCCCCTAGAAAGTTTTCTGCGGGCGCCCATGGTCACCGTATGACAAATTTGAACAAGTGCACTTCGTAATAGCCACAAAAAATAAATAAAAGGTTGGGTAGAAGTAAAAATCAATAAAACTAGTATGTGGGTAGGTCACACACTTTTAGGATTCATTTAGTTGACATTTGTAACAACGTCTTCAAACAATAATTATTTAAATTACTGATTGGCACCAGGTCCGCTAGATGTCGTACGCTGTCATTGTCACGCTGGATTGAAAGTAGAACTAAAAATGTGTAACATTTCGTGGCACCTCTGTGAGGAAGCCTTGGGGTACATCTTCAGGAACCACTGGGCTAAGGCGGCGCCTCTGTGAGGAAGCCTTGGGGTAGCACATCTTCAGGAACCACTGGGCTAAGGCGGCGCCTCTTTGAGAAAGCCTTGGAGTACATCTTCAGGAACCACTGGGGTAAGGCGGCGCCTCTGTGAGGAAGCCTTGGAGTACATCTTCAGGAACCACTGGGGTAAGGCGGCGCCTCTGTGAGGAAGCCTTGGAGAAGTACATCTTCAGGAACCACTGGGCTAAGGCGGCGCCTCTGTGAGGAAGCCTTGGAGCACATCTTCAGGAACCACTGGGCTAAGGCGGGGCCTCTGTGAGGAAGCCTTGGAGCACATCTTCAGGAACCACTGGGCTAAGCCAAACAGATTTCGGAGAAAAACCCGTTATATGAAACGTTTTACTGTGACGTCATAATTTTTCCCCCGCAAGGGGGGGGGGGAGGGGGTGAGTGCTGTTTTGTGTGGGGCCGGGGAGGTGCGTAAATTGTACGCATGCAATAACGGGTTTGACACAGGCGTTAATACGTACGTACAGTGGCGCAGGGAGGAGCACTGGGGTGGCACTTCTTTTTGTTTTTTTTTTAAATATGAAGAGGTGGCATTTTCGGCCAACAGCAGAGTTTTTTTGTTTTTTCCTTGAAGTGGGCGGTACAAATCTTTGCCCCTCCTCGGGTGGAACTAACCCTGTTCACGTAATGTATGGATATTTCCTAAACATGCGGTACAGTTATGTACAAATCCGGTACTCGCAACTCGTGTCTAACCGTACCGAATATTTCCAAAAATAGATGTCTGCCTCTTGGAGTTAATCTCCGTGTCGTCTAGCAGGCAGCTGTTCTACTAAACAAGGCTTCTTAACATGTTAACCACCACCCCATTTCCAGTCAGACGTACCCCTTCTTACAATAAAATATTTAAAAGCTTTCCCACTCAGTTATCATAACATTACATTTAAACTATGAAAATCAGAGGTGAAAAAAAGGAATTATATTATAATTAAATGTATAAATACATTTTACTTTGTGCTGATCTATTTAAAAGACACAAAATTGTAGGAAAAACAATTTATTACATCCTTAGCTTGTTGATCAACAAGTTAAAAAGTTTTTACGCTTAAATTTTATAATGCAGAATCAATTGAAAGGTTGTTAAAGACTAAATATCATTGTTTGTGGTATAAATATGATTATTATGACAATTATAGTATAGTTTCTAGCTGATATCATCTTCCCAAGGAGTAGCTAAGTTTTTCTATCGTAACTATGGGCATCAGGGGCATCATTTGGGTGGGGCAGGGGGGCATTTGCCCCCTCCCCCCAATTTGCAGGTTTTCAATAAAAGTTGCTATATATGTGCTGGCACCCCCAGTAATAAACAACTTAACAAGCCAACCAAGTTTTGGTTTTTGCCCCACCCCCCCCCCACCCCTTGAAAAAAACCTGACAGGAAACCCCTGATGGGTGTAGTCTACAGTAGCTGATTGATCATCTTCATCTCGCGGCACTGATCTACCAGACAAGTCAACATCATCCTCATATAACGATTCAGCACTTAAAATAGAAGCATTGTCGGTGTGAGCAATAATTGCCATAAGCTCTCTCTCTCTCTCTGTCTCCTTGCAGCTACTCTCATTGGTCGAATCCTTTTTTGTTGAGGAGCAGGCGCTAATTTCTTATGCTCAAGAGGGCGTTGTCTGTGCTGATGAACATGCTTTTTCAACCTGACTTGTGATGCAAAATAGATGTTACACATTTTGCAAATCCGTCCAAGCAGCGATGTTATGATTGTTACTCACTTTACATTCACCTAATTCTCAAAATATCGTATTCCGACTCTATCAATATCATCTTGACTGCACAGTATTCCTACTCTATCAATATCATCTTGACTGCACAGTATTCCTACTCTATCAATATCATCTTGACTGCACAGTATTCCTATTCTATCAATATCATCTTGACTGCACAGTATTCCTATTCTATCAATATCATCTTGACTGCACAGTATTCCTACTCTATCAATATCATCTTGACTGCACAGTATTCCTACTCTATCAATATCATCTTGACTGCACAGTATTCCTATTCTATCAATATCATCTTGACTGCACAGTATTCCTATTCTATCAATATCATCTTGACTGCACAGTATTCCTACTCTATCAATATCATCTTGACTGCACAGTATTCCTATTCTATCAATATCATCTTGACTGCACAGTATTCCTACTCTATCAATATCATCTTGACTGCACAGTATTCATATTCTATCAATATCATCTTGACTGCACAGTAATCCTATTCTATCAATATCATCTTGACTGCACAGTATTCCTACTCTATCAATATCATCTTGACTGCACAGTATTCCTACTCTATCAATATCATCTTGACTGCACAGTATTCCTACTCTATCAATAGCATCTTGACTGCACAGTATTCCTACTCTATCAATAGCATCTTGACTGCACAGTATTCCTACTCTATCAATACCATTTTGACTGCAGATGACACTTGAGCCTTGTCCTTGTTCAATACCTGCAACAGAATCTACAGGCGAAGAGATGCCAACTTTTGACTTCTCTTGCACTAACAAAGTGTGCTAACATTCTGACCAGCCATCTGAAGTGCACAGACACACATTAAATAAATCTTATATTGTTAAAAACCTAAAACTTATATGACGATTTATACTCATTTACACTTATATATATATATATTTAATTTTAATAACTAGTCAATTTTTGAGATTAAAATTTTAATAATTTTAATAGAGAAAATAACGATTTTTGACGTCAACTTATCTAAACGTCAACTAAACCCCACTCCCTCCCTCTTGTCAACAACTGTCGAACATTTCCAAACCCCCTCCCGCCCGGCCCCCCTCCTCCATTTTGTCGACGTAATTAATGGACGCCCCCTAAGTTAATAAATTAATTGTTAGAGTTTCAAATCCATCATAATTTATTTCAATTAAATTTGCAACCCGGTCTGAACCACATCTGAGAAACGTCTAGGACATTATACTGTTCATATTTATTTCAGAGTTTGATTTAATTTATATTTAATTTGCGACAATTTTAAAATGTTTTAAAAAAGAAAAATTGGCTTAAAAATCATAAAGAAATGACACAATTAATATATGATATTCATTTTTATTTGAAATCTAATAATATACATCATCAAAGATTACAGTTTCAAAGGTATTTATTTCAGAAATATTTTAGCGAAGAAAGGGAGAAAAAAGAAAAGGGTGTCACTCTTGTTTTCTTCTCATTTACTCCATTTTTAATTAATTATTTTTTAAATATGGATACTGAATTCTTGCCGTTGTTATCACCCATAAGCTGCTTAACGCTTCAGACTTTTGTTTCCTCCCAAGAATTTGGAAATGGCTTTCACGGGTCAACCTGTCAGAATGTACAACATTAATCAATACATAAGCAAGTTGATTTAAATAGGAGATGGAACATTTTAGGTCAAACATTAAAGTAAGCCAAGGGGAGAAAATCAGGCTTTTTCTGTTCAAAACGTAATCTTAGTAAACAATTGTAAATTTTTTTTTTAATAAGCAAGTTTATTTTTATTTCACAGAATATGTAAAGTGTAAAGTTGATTGTACACGTGAGAAGAAATAGGATAAGTAAAATCTTACTAAAAAGAGGAAAGAACTCTGCCTGAAAAAAGGGGCTCACAAATGAGAATAATAATTTTCAATTTGAAAAGCTCGATGAAGTGCAGTCAAATAATATTTGAATAGAACAAAGCAGACGTTGGTCTACTCACGAGCATCTCTAGAGTGAGATTCACGCCTCAATCCTTGAAAACAGCCTCAAGATACGACCAAACTCCTCACCACACTTTTCAGTAGTCCGAGTGATGACACAATTGCTGAGCTGCTCCTCGTAGCTACAGATGATGATGTTCATAGTTATAGTTATCAAGAAATTGCAATAAATGAGTAAGATCAAATAGTAAACTTTGACTGCATCTCTCAACGTGTCATTGAAATAAAATAATTCTCGTCGTAAGTATGTCAGATAACTAACATTATAGAAGACAAACTTTGAAACAGCCTTGCATTTTAAAAATATGAAATTGTGTCCCCCCCCCCACCCACCACACCTTTAAAAAATTGTTAACTTCTGTTATGTAGCACGTGTTTACGTCACACTTTCCCCGTGCCGTGAACTCTGGTTGACCCCACATTAGACTACGTTCGTATTGGTCGAGGTCTATTTCCTTTCATCTTGGCTGTTGTTCTCCACAACTATCAGCTAAAAATAACGAACAAATTCGAATAGAATTTAGGGGAAAGTTCGATAGTGTACGTGAAAGATAAACAATATAGAAGACATTTCTAGAAGCGTTGGTTATACCGACGCAAAGATATAAAAGCGGATTCAGAGATTCATCGTGGGAGATTGATTGAGAGATATTTTTAACTTTACGAGACAATTGTATTATTCTTTGTGTACTCATATGTCTTTATTCGCATTCATCATTGTACCTTATTTTTGTGGCACATTGTACTAACTGTGTACCGGTACAAGACATTCCGAAACTCTGTAAGTTGATGATTGTAATTATAATTCTTTTGTTTTGTAATTATATTAATACTTAAATAAATCTTATTAGTTGTAATTAGTACTGTTTTGAGTGTCGTATTTTTACTTTTGTATTTTCTCTATGGTATCGTCCTTTTTTATGGGGTGTTTGAACGAGCCATAAATTTTAAAATAAGAGATTAATTTCTCACAAGTGCGTAACACTTCTTTATGTAACGCCACATTGTAGAAGTAAGCATGGAAGATTATGCATCATGAGAGACTTTAAAAAAAAAAAAAAAAAACAAAAAAAAAAACTGGATTGCTTTTGAATAAATGTCGCTGTGTGTCCTTTAAGATTACTTCCTTAAATTGTTCCTCAAATTCTGAGTGGAATAAAAATCAATATATTTGAATGCCATCAGGTACCGTAAGCGGGAATAAACAGCACATATTTGTTTCTGAAACTCTCTACACCACCACACAGGTTATTTGAGTTTTCTTTATGGTGTTTTTTGTTTGTTTGCCCCCCCCCCCAACCACAATTTCTTTGCTTGCTTAAAAGAAGGCTTTTTGCCGACACATTCGTTGTTCCGTTTTTGTCTTTTGTTTCAGGTGTTTCCCGTATCTTGTGCGCTTCATTTCCCTAATAAGTCAGAGCGAGGAAGGAACGAAATTATTGTTGCTTTGGAATGCGTATCCTTATCACGTGTTGCTGCGTTTCCTTTCGAATAATTCGATGGAATAATAGCACGTGAAGATTTGATTGATAAAACGAAAGATCGGAATATTTCATTTTAAGAAGTTTAAACTTACTTTGGGAAATCGATCGGCTCTTGCCTTTTCCCATTTTGCAATGTGGCATTCAAGGCGACAGCTATCTCTAACGCGTAGTCCTCGAAGCAAGCGTTCTGGAGATTCTCAACTTCCTGACTCTTGACGTCATTAGTAACACACTCGGCGCTATTATAGGCTAAGATAGCTGTGGGTTGTGTTTAGAATGACGTGGGCTTAATGCAAATACGAAATATGGGCATTTCATTTGTTCACACATTTAATTTTTTTAAATGGTGCTATATTCAAGATTTTAAATTGATAAGAAATAAATATATTTAAAACTTAGCATTTAACCGATTAAAAAAATAATAATAAAGTATATTATTAATTGATATTAATATTTTTCACTAAAGAATGGGGACAAGACATCGATAACAAAGAAAACTGTTTTTTTAAAAAGCAATCTATGAAACCTACCCTCTTTGCCTTCAAGTGTACAGATGATATCGCCCTCTGCAGTCTTTTTCTCTAGGGCCTCTAGTAAATCATCGTCGTCGCACTTGGACTTAATGTCATTAAAAAGTCTTTTGAATGGCTGGAATTGTCTGTAAAGAAGATAATATTTATCTGTGTTACGATAAATTGAGGCGGAAAGCCATGGATCAATCCGAATGGTAGGATGTGGTGGAGCAGGCGGGCCTGATCACTATAAATTATAAACTGTTTTCTGAAGATAGTGTATGACAAATTGAGCTCCAACAAATTCATAATAAAAATAAATAATGCAACTATATTTATATTGCTACATACAGCAGATAAAATTAGTTTCTTATAGATTCTTACGTGGGTATATGATCTTATTCTTTGTCTTCATTGCTCTTATTTGTGCACGAGTCATTGACACATTATTTGAAATTTCTCTGTTCTGATCTATTACTCCCATTAGACGGAACTAATTACCGTTGCTCTCCATCTCTCTGTGTTTTTCCTTGTGTCTTCCGTGGGGATAATCCCAATGGTATATTTTGTCTTTGTCGGCATGATTTGTAAATTACGGATTATTGCTGCAGTCTCCTATCGTTTCATGGTACCCAGCCCTAAGATTAGTCATTGTATATGCTACACTAAATGATTGGTCGTTGTATATGCTACACTAAACGGTTGGTTTGTATATGTGACACTAAACGGTTGGTCGTTGTATATGCTACACTAACAGATTTGTCCCTGTTTATGCTACACTAAAAGATTTGTCCTTGTTTATGCTACATTAAGGGGGGAGGTACACCGAGAAAAATGGAAAAAAAAGCTTTGATAACCATTGATATCAAATTAAAGTGTATTAAATTCTGCACAATTATGTGTAATTATTTTTATTTTAGGTTAGTTATTGAGATATGATTTTTTTTTGCCAGAATTTACCACTCCCCCCACCCCTAAATTAAAAATTCCCTATACTTTTTCTATCTCAATTATATTAAAACAACGATGACCTCCCCAATAATTGTTTAATGCAATGATCAGTCCTTTAAATATGGCGGCTTCCATAGAAATAGACTAAACAGAACATTTTTGTGATATTAAAATTGTTTTAATATTTTCTTATAATGTGTCTATACAATGACTATTGATAACAAATATTGAAAGAAACAAACTTTTCATGAAAATAGATTTATTAAGCCAAATATTGGACCCAGAGAGGATATTTTAAATGGAAATAAATTAATCAAAATAATCTGAATCCATAGGATCGTTGAATGGGAGTCGCTTAGTCACTTCCTTGTTTGGTCACGTGATGAGAGCAAGCCACCACTAGGCTGTGACATACAACAAAAGATACTCCATCAGTGCTTCCCCAATGTCATGTTACTTTAAAATTTTACCTTTCAAAATATTCTGGAATACACGTGTTTTTTAAATGAAATCCATAAATGTGACAGTGAAAATACGTTTGTTATGATTAAAGGAAGAAAGTTATTTCAAGAAAAAATTGCGTGCGAGATTCGATTGGAACTATCATCGGCAGGCTGTTGTTGAGCTCCGTGCCCATGACTACCCCTATGACGTCATTTGCGTGTTTATTCAATATTTATGCAGGAGTCATTCCCTATTGTTTATTTTATAGTTAATTTTCATGGGACGAAATGTCGGCATACCCATGACGTCGTGTGCGTGTTAGTTCAATATTTGTGTGGCGAAGTCATATTTTAATAACCGGCTGGAACAAGATTTCATGTGAATAATTAACGAAGGTCCACTTTGTCAAGCCATTGTCTTAAATTTTCTTTATCCTTAAGCGGAAACTTATGCAGACTTATACCAATGTCGTTAACTTTACTGTTTGAACAGCCAAAAGCCGAACATTGCCTAGGCATCTTGAATTGAAAAGTAGTTGTAGTGTGTAACTGACTACTGGTTGTCAAGCACTAGTGTGTTGTATACAGCCTGCCGGAAGTCTTACTCGTATTTACTCTCATCACGTGACAAAACAATCGACTAAGCGACTTCCATTGAATATGACATCCTTGACACATATTTTAAATATAGTCCGATTGCCATGAATGATATATCATTTTAAAGGGCTAGCTATAAGCTTTATAACAACACTAATTTCATCTTTCTATCTTTTATAGAAGTGGAGTTATTATTTTTAGTCGAATTTTTTATGACCCTTATATAATTTATAATCTATATATTTTACCCCCAAAACGTGTGACCCAAATTTCACATTTCTGCATTATTTTGCTCACAACATTTTTATTTTTAAAGATAATTGACCACATTTTCAGGAGACATTCCTAATCTAATAATCAACACAAAGAACAATATAAATTTTACATTACATCAAGACTTTTTATTTTGGATAATTTTCTTTGCAGTTATGTTGAGAACATCATGTCCAAAAAATTTTGGAAAAATTATTATTTGTAAAGGCAAAAACAAAAAAATTACATGTTTATTGTAGTTAAAGTAAATGTATTATTCAGTTATATTGCAAATAAATTCTTATCTTTATAAAAGGTAAGTAGAAGTCTTTTTTAATACAAAATTAAATGCATGAAATTATTAAAACTATTCAAATCACCTGTCACAAGACATACAGGTATGTGATTAAAGTAGAGGCCGACCGAATTTCGGCTTCGGCTTCGGTTTCGGCGCCGAAAAAGGCCATTTTATCACTTTCGGCCAAGTTTCGGTTTCGGCCGAAACTGGAAAGTTAAATTTCGGCTTAATTTCGGTTTCGGCCGAAAGAGAAAAGTTAACTTTCGGTTTTTCTTCGGTTTCGGCCGAAATTGACTTAGACTTTCAGCCATCCGGCTGAAAGTTACTCAGGTTTTCATTCATTTAATACTAAGCGAAAGCGATATTAAAAAAAAAAAAACTAAGCGACATTTAAGAACAAATTAAGCGATCTTTGAGAACAAACTAAATGATATTTAACAACAAACTAAACGACATTTATGAACAAACTAAATGATCTTTAAAACAAACTAAGCGATCTTTAAGAACTATCTAAGCGACCTTTAATAACAAACTAAACGATCTTAAAGAACAAACTAAACGATTTTTAAGACCGAACTAAATGATCTTTAAGAACAAAACAAATGATCTTTAATGATTTATAAGAATAAACTAAGTGATGTTTAACAGAAGACTAAATGTTCTTTAAAAACAAACTGAAAGATCTTTAAGAACAAACTAAGCGATCTTTATGAACAAACTAAACGATCTTTAAGAACAAATAAAGGGATCATTAACAAAAACTAGACGATATTTAACAACAACTAATGCGATCTTTAAGAACAAACTAAACGATCTTTAACAACAAACCAGGCGATCTTTATGAACAAACTAAACGGTCTTTAACAACAAACTAAACGATCTTTAACAACAAACCAGGTGATCTTTATGAACAAACTAAAGATCTTTAACGACTAACTAAACGATCTTTAACGATACACTAAACGATCTTTAACAACAAACTTAACGATCTTTAACAACAAACTAAACGATCTTTAACAACAAACTAAACGATCTTTAACAACAAACTGAACGATCTTTAACAACAAACTAAAAGATCTTTAACAACAAACTAAACGATCTTTAACAACAAACTAAACGATCTTTAACAACAAAATAAACGATCTTTAACAACAAACTAAACGATCTTTAAAAACAAACTAAACGATCTTTAACAACAAACTAAACGATCTTTAAGAACAAACTAAACGATCTTTAACAACAAACTAACAATCTTTAACGACAAACTAAACGATCTTTAAAAACAAACTAAACTATCTTTAACAACAAACTAAACGATCTTTAACAACAAACTAAACGATCTTTTACAACAATTTAAACGGTCTTTAAGAACAAACTAAACGATCTTTAACAACAAACTAAACGATCTTTAAGAACAAAATAAATGATCTTTAACAACAAACTAAACGATCTATAACAACAAACTAAACGATCTTTAACAACAAACTAAGCGATCTTTAAGAACAAATTAAGCGATCTTTAAGATTAAACTAAGCGATATTTTAGAACAATCTAAGCGATCTTTATGAACAAACTCACCGATCTTTAACAACAAACTAAACGATCTTCAACAACAAACTAAACGATCTTTTACAACAAACTAAACGATCTTTAAAAACAAATTAAACGATCTTTAACAACAAACTAAGCGATCTTTAACAACAAACTAAGCGATCTTTAACAACAAACTAAGCAATCTTTAAGAACAAATTAAGTGATCTTTTAGAACCACATTTTTTAGAGACCCGGTTTCAAAAAAGTAATATTTTGCATTAATTTCCCCTCCTCCCCCCCCCCCACCCACATCCCCCAATTTCTGCCAAATTTTCTCCTACCATACAAATTTGAAAAAAATTGTAAAGCAATTTAAATTAGTTTTAATTTAAGAACAAATTAATGTATCTTTTAAAACCCCATTTTTTAGAGACCCGGTTTCAAAAAAATAATATTTTCCATTAATTTCCCCCCCCCCCCCCCCCCCACCCACATCCCCCAATTTCTGCCAAATTTTCTCCTACCATACAAATTTGAAAAAAATTGTAAAGCAATTTAAATTAGTTTTATATTAAAATAGTAAAATCCAAAGTATTCATTAGATCAAGGGTATCAAACTCAAATTATGGGGAGGGGGGGGGGCGCAGGAGGTAGTGTCTGAATGAGAGTGGGCCGCATCAAGTAATCCACACAAAAAGCGATTACAATTGTTACAATCTGGTCAACCTTTATAAATAACAAAAAAATCATTAAGGGTTCTCAAAAACTAGGATTCACTTTCATCCAGAGAGCTGGCATACAAAAATATATAGAGACATTAAAAAAAAATAAAATCAGAATTAGATTTGTCGGTGAGATTCGACTGAAACCGTCGCGGAGAGTCACGTTATATATATGAGAATGGGGGAAACACTAAACTTTTCTGTATGTAGCGGGCCGCAAAATATCATCTTGCGGGTCACAAATGGCTCGTTGGCCGCGAGTTTGAGAACCCTAAATTAGATTTTTATTTACGATTATCTCATTTTTATAAAAAAGAATGTAAATATTTATATTTTCCCACATCATTTTCGATGTAAGCAGAATGTATGCGGGAACGAATTTCAAAATATCTTAATATTTCATTTTCGGTTTCGGCTTCGGTTTCGGCCGAAATTCATTTTTAACTTTCGGTCTTTTTTCGGTTTCGGCCGAAAGTCATTTTTAAACTTTCGGCCTTTTTTGGTTTCGGCCGAAAGTCATTTTAAACTTTCGGCCTATTTTCGGCTTCGGCCGAAATCAGAAAATCACTTTCGGTCAGTCTCTAGATTAAAGTTTAAAAGGGAATGGGGATGTTTTGCCTATCAATATCTATGTAGACTCCTTTGCAGACTTCATGGTCTTTTTGACGAATCACAAAATGTATGCTTCATAAACTTTGTCTTAGCTATCCTCGTCCATGTATGCCTTACTGCTGATGGAAGTGGAATAAATTCCACAAAGATCTTCTCTTCAATAGAAAATTAACATTTTCCCTTGTACCTGAAAGAAGCATAGAGATAACGTCTAATCATAATCCCGAATCTTCACAATTTCTGGTTTCTTTTTAATAATATTTATTTTATATGGCGATTAAAACTCTTTTCTTTTTTTTACATTAAATTTAATGTTACTTATTATTTGATATATGAGATAACTGTTTATGTAAACTGCTTTTCTATGTCCTAATTAAAAAATAATTACTATGATGATGTTGTAGTATTAGAATGTTATATAACTTAACAATGATTTGAAATTTATAATAAAAATAAAAATTACTAACTTTAATTAGACCTGCAACTGCAAGGGTGTTGTTGTAAATATTAGTATTTATTAGTAGCCTAAATTTAAATACCGTACTAGCCTAAATAGACTAAATAGGATTACCGGTAAAATAACTGATATTGTATGCCTAATTTTGGCAATATTCTCCCATATGAGTAGTAATTCATACGAGAATTACAATTATTATTATTACAATTGTTAAACAATTAATCATTGATTCAATAATGAAGAACGGTGGTAGAACTAGAGCATTTGGTACCCGGTGAACAAAACTATTTAAATTTAACTGTAATTTATAAACTAAAAAGCTATCCGCAGACCCAAAACTTTTCACGTTTGGTTAAAATCTTTTCTTATTTAAAAAAAAAATAATATTAATTTGAAGCGCATTAGAATTATTCAGATGAATTGTGATTAAACAAAAAAAAAAAAAAAAAAAAAAAAAAAAAGGATTACTTCATAAATGATAGTAATAATAGCAATTTCCGGCAGCTCGAACGCATAAAATTAACTTTCGATTCGGCGACATTTTTATACCCCCCCCCCCCATCTACACTTCAGGAGGAGGCATAACTTTTCAAGGAGTGTGCCGATTTTAATAATTTAAATATGTTAATACTCAATGTTAATACTCACGAATGAATTAAGTTTCTAAAACGTTAAACAGCTTTCTAAATCAATAAATAACAAAAAAGTATTATGTGATAAACGTACCGAATGGTTACAATGTTCCTGTCCGTGACGCAAACCCCCCCCCCCCCCCCCCCACCAAAATGGTAGTATAAATTTAATAGAATCGCCGACCGATACGTCACTGATGAGGAAAGTAATTATTCAATAAACAAAGGTGACGTAGTACGCAATTTTCCAAAGATACCGTGTAGCTGTACCCCATATTGTAAAATACTTTTTTCGACATTTTTGGACATGCGCAGATCTGTGCGTCGACTAGTTCCTACCTTGACTAAACTTAAAATTGAGTGGTCTTAAAACACCAAATACCACGCCCACCCAGAACAGGTCAGAAATGAAATTGATAGACATAAAAATATGGAGTAAATGATTCTCATTTAGATTAAAGTAAAGATTAAGACATCTGAAAAACATTTCATTAAAGTTTCGTGTTGGGGGGGGGGGCATCCACTTTACTGCAGTGCGCGGATAAAAAAAAAGGGGGTTAGATATTTGTGACGATGTGTGACGAGGGGGAGGGGGGGCCTCAAGCAATGTGACGTCACATGAAAAGCGGAATATTGTAGTAAATATTTGCACTTAATAACACTAAATTAAGGACATTTTAACATTATTCTTTCTTACAACTGTATTTATTTTAATTTTAAATACTATCACTGAGAGAATCAGTACAGGCTGCAGGGCCGGCGCTAGGGGATGGCGAAGTGGGGGACCGCACGTTGACGTAGTATATTTATAATATACCTCAGCCTGATAACAATATACCTCAGCCTGATAACAATATACCTCAGCCTGATAACAATATACCTCAGCCTGATAACAATATACCTCAGCCTGCCAATAGTTCCTAATCCAGTCAACATACTATTCGAAGTTATTAGATAGTCCAATGGCCTGAAGGTCCCCGCCTAGCGCCGGTCCTGAGTACAGGTATGTGCAGTCCGAAGAATGACCTCTGATCAAGTTACAGGGCGCCAAGGAGGAGGGGAATTGGAATGTGGTGACAACGACAGCCGTGAGAATGTATGGCTAAATGTGGACGCGGGAAGCGGGGTGGAGCGGAAAAAAACGGTTGACCGCGTGGTGGGGGCCATCTTAGTAACTGCTCTAGAGCAGGGATTCTTAACCCTTTTTGCAGCGTTGCAGGCCCCCTCCGTTTTAAACAACCCCCCCCCCTCAACCGTATAATATACATTGTAATAAAATTTAAAATAATTAAATAATTTAGCTATCGTAGATTTATTTCTTTAATTAACTTTTTATAAACGGGAAAAAATTACCAATACACACAATGCGCCAATGAAATTCAGCATTAAGAATGTCTCCTGAAAATTTTGTAGCATTATCTTTTAAAATCATCATCAAAATCCATAAAAACTTGCTTATTTAATTTTTTTTTTCTTAAACAGCAACAACAAGCAATGGCAGCAAATATAATCAGTGACGTAGCTAGGGTTGGTGTCACCCGGTCCGGTAAGCTCGTGGTGTCACCCACCCACCCTTTTCACGATGTATTTCTTCTTGTTAAACTTAGTCCACAGTCTAAGAAATACAAGAACAAATTAAATGAAGCTAAGGAGGTAAATGTATTTCAGAACTGTAACTTGCACTTAGAATCACCAATTGTTATCGAAGGATAGTTGTATTTCTTAGAATTTAGATAAAAATAGCTTCCTGAAACTTACACAAGTTACCGAACACTTCATTCGGCGTTGAAACATGGTCAAAACGGTGTGTTTCTGACCTAATAAAAAGGTACCGGTAACCTAATTGCCTTGGCATCAATCTTGACGTTTTAAGATGAACGAAACACTCATTTTGATTGGTTCCACGGGTGGACAATGTCACGTGTCATCTGTTCTCCTTTGATGAATTTCGGTTAGACCGAACAGTGTGTGCTCTGTGATTACGTCATTTTTCAATTTGGTGTTACCCCCTGAGATGTACTTGTACCCCTGATTAAGAACCACTGATCTAGTGAAATGTTTCTGACACTGGTGCAGTAATTTGATATCCATGGGAGGCAAATTTCTTAAGGGTTTGTAATGGACAGTAGTGGACACAGGGACTTTTTAAGGGGGGGGGGGGGCGTTCGGGCTAAACACTGAGTATATAATGAGGGGGGGGGTCTAACTTTTTGTGACGATTTGTGACGATTGGGGGGGGGGGAGTAAAAAAATCGGCAAAATTTGCGTGACGTCATTTATGGATGGCCCCTTTATTATAACAGTGAATCAGGAGAAATTAATTTAACTAGGCCAATTTTTTTTAGATCTTTATCATCCTATTATTCTTAGTAAATGTCCAGATATTTATACCCCAAATGCGAACGAATCGATGAATAGTATTATATTGAAAATGTGCCCTAAGAACAAATGTTATTGTTTAAGAGCTGTCCACATTGGTGTTGACTTAGCAACCCTTCTTTTCAATGATGGATCCAAAGTATTGGAGGCTCCTCTAAGATTTAGCAGCTTTCCTTTGGACAGTTTACTTTCAATTGTTTCATTATGATGGGTGCTAAGTGGATATCGAAGGCACAAAAATAAATGAATAAGTCCATAGAAGCTAGAAGAACCAGAAAAAGACTTAAATTGCGGTTAGAGTAGTCAAAAGTTGAAGCTAAATGCTTTCAGGGCGTCATTAAAATTATAAAATTTATTTACTTAATGAACAAAACTATTACGTTTTCATTTACAAATTTTGGACGTTTACTTCACATAAAATTAAAATTTCAAATATCAACTAATTTGTTTAAAATTTTGCAAGATGCTATATAATATACTTATCGATGTCAGCAACTAAGGATACTGTAATATATTAATAAGTACACATTTTACAACCCATCAAAGTTTGATTTTAAAATGTCAAAATTAAGATACTTTAGGATGCTGTGATACATAAAGTATTCAATAAATTACATTTTTCCGAGTTGTCGCCTAAGCTAATCCATATTTCTATATGGTTAAAAAATTATAATAAATTTGAGCTTAAAACATTCTAACTAATTTTGTTTGGTAGATATTCCAATTTCCAGCATGCCATTTTTCTTTTCAATGTAAGCAAACTATTGTGTTGCACTTTTAAATTGTTATTTGAAGTGAATAACAGTGTTATTATGGTAGCATGACTATTCCTCTAGCTTCAGCGAAAATTTGGGTACATTCTAAGGACGACGGCCACTATTTTATCGAATTTCACGAATGTATCCCTAAATCGATCCCTATGCCTAACATGAACTCTAAATCGATCCCTATGCCTAACCTGAACCCTAAATCGATCCTTATGCCTAGCCTGAACCTTAAATCGATCCGTCAACCTAACCTAAACCCTAATTCACTGCAACTATAATAAACACAGCAAAGACGCCGTGGCAGCCGTCCTTAATATTAGCCAAAATTTGACACTTGTAACTTTAATAGTGTTTTTGTGTGAATTTTTTAGTAGTCGACCTATGTTCAGGGTGTACTTACCCACTTAAATGATTGGTCGCAGTATATGCTAATAAAATAAAATTATAATTTTAATTTTAAAAATAGTTACTATACGTTACTATCCAAATTGATTTCACGCACCTTTACTCTGGTAGTAATTTTATCATTTAAGAGAGTTCCGCGAATTTTGTAAAATTCCTTTAAAAAAAAAAAAAACAACATTATGACGTCATCAAATGATGTGCGAAAAATTCATACTAATTTATAATTACTTAAATTTAGTTTCACAATTCTTTTTTTAGCTAAAGAGATATCCTTTTATGTTTGTCACCTATTTTCAGGGTGTACTTACCCACTTAAATGATTGGTCGCAGTATATGCTAATAACATAAAATTATAATTTTAATTTTAAAAATAGTTACTATACGTTACTATCCAAATTTATTTCACGCACCTTTACTCTGGTAGTAATTTTATCATTTAAGAGAGTTCCGCGAATTTTGTAAAATTCCTTTAAAAAAAAAAAAACAACATTATGACGTCATCAAATGATGTGCGAAAAATTCATACTAATTTATAATTACTTAAATTTAGTTTCACAATTTTTTTTTTTAGCTAAAGAGATATCCTTTTATGTTTGTCCATCTTATGGCATTTGTATTCATTACCTTATTACATGTTGAAACGGTTTTCCTATTTTAGAAACATTTTTAAATGTAAGCAAACCGAAATTCAAATAAAATTAATAAAAAAAATAACAAAACTTAACGCATCCAATACTTATTAAAAGATTTCTCCGAGTTAAAGGCCGCAACATTTATGACAACAATTGTTTTGACTTGGATGACAGAAATTCCAAAGCATCGTTCCACAAGCTTAAAAATACGTTCTTTAAACTAAATTTACTATCTGACCGAATACTTTTATAATCGACTCTCACTTAAATCACTGACAGAATACTTTTATAATCGACTCTCACTTAAATCACTGACAGAATACTTTTAATAGCGACGCTTTACTCACTGGCAGTAGCGGGCGTAAACCGCGTCATCAGCAAGTTCAGCTACTGCCGATGAATCTCCTGGCAACACTAACGAGAGAGCCAATGAACTTGCGAGCAGCTCTCTGCATGCACGCCTTCTTCTGGAGAGTAGGTCTTTCCTGATAGGGCTGCATTCTTTGAAATACAACAAAAACACACATTCAGAATGGGTCAATTCGGGATGAAACATTTCAACATCATTGTGTTTTCTTTTTTTTTTTCCAGATTAAAACAAAATTCCCATAGAGAACCAATCGGATCCCGCTTCCCGATGTCCGTTTTTCCGATGTATCCCGGTACCTGGAGGGATCCCAAACCCGGTTCGATCCCGATCCCGGTGTGATCCCGATCTTGGAGCAATCTCGAACCGGTTTGATCGCGGTCACGATACCGGTCGGTTACAGATCCCGATTGGATGCCTATTCCGGTAGGATCGAGTTTTCCGATAGGACTCCGATCCTGGTGCATCCCTAATTTATGGACCACAGACAATACGCTTGCTAATTAGAATGTATGAACCACAGACAATACCCACACCTATTAGAATGTATGGACCACAGACAATACCCACGCCTATTAGAATGTATGGACCACAGACAATACCCTTTCTTATTAGAATGTATGGACCACAGACAATATCCACGCCTATTAGAATGTATGGACCACAGACAAACCGAAACCTATTAGAATGTATGGACCACAGACAATACCCTTTCTTATTAGAATGTATGGACCACAGACACTATCCACGCCTATTAGAATGTATGGACCACAGACAAACCGACACCTTTTAGAATGTATGGACCACAGACTATACCCTTTCTTATTAGAATGTATGGACCCCAGACAAACCGACACCTCTTAGAATGTATGGACCACAGACAATACCCTTTCTTATTAGAATGTATGGACCACAGACAATACCCACAGACAATGGGCTATAAATGAGAAATTATGATAATAATGAAGTTAAAATTTAAATATTGTCCCATCACAATCGGTTAAAAACGCCACACACATTGCTTTTTAATGTTATCGAACTTTCTAAAAAATTCTATATCGGCCCTGAATGAATTTGATATTCTTAGTTTTAAATCTACCATATTTCTGTACGAACAATGAAGGGTATTGCTACCAAGCTACCGGTGTAATTATGATCCCATTTGTATAAAAATCCCAGTGTGATCCCGTTTCGCCATTCGGATACCAATACTGGGGGGATTACAATGACGGTTGGTTCCCGATCCCATATGTTTTGCGATCCCGGTGGGTTCATGAACCTGACGGGTTCCTGAACACTTTGGGTTCCCGATCCCATCGGTATTCCGTTTCTCGGTGTAAACCCGATCCCGTTTGAATCATAATACTGGGTTGATCATGTTTCTCGGTGGGATTTCCTTTCCCGGTGTGATCCCTGTCAAGGGCATGAGAATCACTGTTGTTATGTGTAGATCATTGTTGTCATGTTTGATAGGGAAAAGATGTTTAGTTAGAGATTTTATGTGTAGCAGTATCGTGGGGGTGAGAGTGTTGTGACGTAATTGTGTAAGGGGATATGACGCGTTAGTTTTCGTTCTTGTTATGGAAAGGATAGAGATGGCCGTTGTGTGCTGTTCAAGACATGGCGTGTTGTGAGATGTCCAAGGCTTAGCTTTTTATGTGTGAGGATTCAGCTAGATAGATCGTGAAGTTGAACGTTGATAAGTTTACAAGTTGTATTGTGAAGTACACTGATTGGTCAGGCTTACGAGGCATATTAAAATTATACATTGAACTGATATCGATACCGGTATATCCAGTGTTTGTTGTCGGTTACACTGGTATGTGTGGTACTAGGATGTCCCATGGCTGAGCGTCTGGATTAGAAGAGTGGATGACGACCACAGGACATCAAGAGTTACATTTCGAAGTTACATTTCGACAAGCCCGTTTCCCCTTGTGATCCCCATCCCGCTAGAATCCCAATTTCTGTGGGTTCCCGATTCCGGTGGGTTCCCCTTTAACTCGTTCCCTTTTAGGATCATGTTCCTCGTTGGTATTGTTCCCCAGTAGGGTACTGAAGGGCAAGTTTAGAGAAAATTCCCCAGGAAAATATAGAAATTAATAGAACTAAACTGATATTTCAATACGTATAATTTAGAAACCATTAGATTTTATATATCCCTGTAGAACAATATGGAACTTTCTAGAACATTCTGGATTAAATTTAATATCCTCCACGAGACGTGTAAGAATGTCTTTTTTAAGTAATTATTCTTTCAATACGAAACATTTTACAACTAAATGCACTGCTATAACTAAAGTATATTTAAGTATAAAGAGGCCCCCAGTGGGGGCTCATTCCATAATTCTACCGAATCAGTTTTGCCTGAGATGGGGGCCCGATAAAAATCCTTCATATACATTATGGAGTTAAAATTTACAATTGGTCCCATTAAAATATAATTAATAATGCCATTGATAAAGCTTTTAAACTTTCTAGATTGAATATTCTTAGTTTTAAATCCACCGATATTTCAATACGCACATTCAAGTGTATTGCTACCACGGTAGGCTTAGATCTATCATTCACATAGGACCTATACTGTTGTCTGAGCCTATTGATATTTATATAGCTTTTTTAAAAGGAAAAATGAAATGGGGCCCCCCCCCCCCCCCCCCCCCCCGAGGAATTGATATTATGAGTTTAGTCCTCTTCGGTATTTCAATACGGTATGGATAATCAAGTGTATGTGTACTAAGTTTGGTCAAGATGCATCGATTCATGTAGGAGGAATTGTTGTTAAATCTATTTACATAGCTCATATAAAATAAAAAGCGAATACGGGACCTCAGCCCAAAACGGAGTTATTTTTGTCAAGTTCAACGCCCCTCCCCGGTATTTGATTCTGTATTATTAGGAAGATATTATGTTGTGCCAAGTTTGGTTAAGGCCAAGCAATCCTTATAAAAACGCATGTGGAACAATGCCGCAAGCTAACAAACATTCACTTATATATATATATATATGATGAATATATGGAGAAAAACGTCTTCATGGAATGTTATACAATGTTCATAACCCCTTAAGAGTTCCTGCCGTATAATGATGGATAACTGTACCAAGTCTAGTCAAGATCCACCATTCCACGTAAAAGCTTATGTTGAACACCGGCACAAACAAAGAAACATTCACTTATTTATATACCGGGTATCTGATTCTTATGGGTTTGTTAAAGGGCTCTCTTTTAAGAATTAAGCCCGGGGGTAGCATTTAATCAAGATATGCCATCGTCACAACTGTTCAATGTTTAAATATATTGGTGTTATCTCCAAATTTTAGCTAGACATAATTGACTACAAATATTTGACTTCAAACATTTTTGATTGAAAAAGTATTTAACATAAAATACATTTGATTTAAAACATACTTAAAGCATATTTGACTTTAAACATATTTGACTTAAAGCTTATGTGACTTAAAACATTTTTAACTTAAAGCATTACATGATTTAAAACATATTTAACTTAAAAAAATGTTTGACTTAAAAAATATTTAACTTAAAACATAAATGACTAAAACTCATTTGAATTAAAACATATTATGACTTAAAACATGTTTAACGTAAAGCATATTTAACGTAGAGTGTATTTCAATGAAACATATTTGTCGGTAAACTTCGGTTCCATGGTCTATCAAAATTTTAAAACGAGTTTAGACTATCAACCCGCCATTACTGCGGAAATATAAATAATATACATTTACCACAAAATATGGCGGCCAAAGACAAGGCTATGACGAGTTTAAACATTTTTCAGCAAGTCCTAAAAAAACCCTGCAACGTGTAACTTGTTTAAGCGATATGGTTCATTCACGTCCCTTTGTTCAGTCGGAGTTCTTTCCCCTCCATTTATAGCCAAGCATCCTGTCAAGGCGGTTGGGGGTAATTTTTGTCAAATAAACAATTGGCCAACCGCAGTAAGTTACGTTTGGAAATGCCCACAAATCTGCACCCCACCAGCTAACATTTTGTTGTCTGCAACATTAATAAAAAAAATCATCTAATGTTTATATGATGTAACATTTATGGATGGAGGCGTCTGTGGTCCAGTACAGTCATTCATAAAACGTAAACTAATAATGTGCTGCTTTTTCTCAAAGCAAGGGATGGCTTCCCTATACTATCATATTCAACTTCAAAATGCCTCTCTCTCTCTCTCTCTCTCTCTCTCTCTCTCTCTCTCTCTCTCTCTCTCTCTCTCTCTCTCTCTCTCTATGTTTTTCTTTTAAGAAACAAACATGTCCAATATACACTACACAATACTGTGTTATATATACTAAGTCTGTGGTCCAGTACAGTCATTCATAAAACGTAAACTAATAATGTGCTGCTTTTTCTCAAAGCAAGGGATGGCTTCCCTATACTCTCATATTCAACTTCAAAATGCCTCTCTCTCTCTCTCTCTCTCTCTCTCTCTCTCTCTCTCTCTCTCTCTCTCTCTCTCTCTCTATCTCTCTCTATGTATTTCTGATAAGAAGCAAACATGTCCAATGTACACTACACAATACTGTGTTATATATACTAAATAAATCAAATGATTCCCTGACATCAGCACAATGTTATAAAAAATGTCGTTGCAATGCAGAGAATAGAGACACACACACGTTGAATACTCACTCTAATCTTAATACAGTAAATCCATCAGAAAAATCCAATATGTCCAAGTAATCTCGTTCACTCCTGCTCTACTTGAAAAACATGAATTCTCGTATTATTCATGCTTCATTCATTTTTGGGCAGGAGGGGGGGGGGGCTAAATTCGTTAAAAAAAATATTTCAGTTATATAAATATAGTTTCAAACAGAGCTATCAGCACAACGGATTTTGATTAGGAGGTGTCCATTAATTACGTCAACAAAATAGGGAGGGGGGGCGGGTTTGGAAATGTTTGACAGTTGTTGACATGGGGGGGGGAGGGAGTTTAGATTAGCTGACGTCAAAAATCATTATTTTCACTATTAAAATTTTAATCTTAAAAATTGACTAGACTAGTTATTGCATTAAAAAAATTATAAGTGTAAATGAGTATAAATCGCCATATAATTTTTAGGCAATAATAATAAAAGATTTATTTAATGTGTCTGTCTGTGCCTAGAGACCAACCGAAAGTGATTTTCAGATTTCGGACAAAATCGAAACTAGGCTGAAAGTTAAAAAATGACATTCGGCCGAAACCTAAACTATCCCGGAAGTTAAAAAATGACTTTCGGTCGAAACAGAAGCCGAAACTGAAATATTTAGATATTTTTAAATTGGTTAACGCATACATTCTGAGCCTTGGTCACTGTGCCTTCCTTTTCAGTTGTTTCAAGGTGTATCATATATTTTGCGTGTCTGCCTCTAGCTCGCGTCTTCATGTATTCTTTGGCCTTCCTCTCTTTCTTTTTCCCTGTGGATTCTATGTTAGGAATTGTATGGTGGTGCTATCTGGGGATTTTCGGAGAGCATGTCCTATCCATCTCCATCTTTTATTTAAGACAGTGGTTCTTAACCTTGTTGGAGGTACCGAACCCCACCAGTTTCATATGCGCATTCACCGAACCCTTCTTAATAGGAACAATAAAATATTTTTTTTCTGATTTTTTTTTTTACCTCCGCCGAACCCCTGAGACTGACTCACCGAACCCCTGGGGTTCGATCGAACCCAGGTTAAGAACCACTGATTGAAGATGTCTACGTCTATGGGCACCTGGTGAGTCCTTTCTAGTAGATCATTGCTGGTGATAATATTAGGCTAATTGATTTTCAGGATCTTTCTAAGGCAGTGGTTCTCAACCTTTCTAATGCCGCGACCCCTTTATACAATTTCTTATGTTGTGGCAACCCCCAACCATAAAATTATTTTCATTGCTTACTTCATAACTGTAATTTAGCTTCTGCTATGAATCGTAAAGTAAATATCTGATAAGCAGGATGTATTTTAATTGTTACAAATTGTACATAATTTAAAGCATAGTGATTGATCACAAAAAACAATCGATCATTCTATATTGTGAAATATTTATTTCTAATTACAAATAAATGATATTTTGTCTGAAGCATAGTGTAGCTTGGGTATCAGTCTTAATATAACAACAGTAAACTACATTAGTACATTTTGTGATGTTATGCGTAAAACGACAACTTCAGTGCGAAGGTTGAGATTGCTTCTTTCTTACCAGATCAGAAATGCTCGGGGCAGTCTTTGCAAGAGCACAACGAAGATGATCTTTCACAAAAAGTCTACATTTAAACTTGATTACCAACAAGCCGGATAACCCATGTTTTAACAAGGATATGTTGTTGAACATGGAAGAAGTCGGAGCAAGACAGTCTCAGACTGCAAATATTTGATCTAGAATTTTGTGTTCGCATTGTAGAGAATGGTAATGAGGGGAGAGACTGAAATCAGGTTAACACAATATAAAATTAGTAAAACAAAGTAGGGTTAAACCTGAAAAAAGGAACGCAACATAACAACGAACATGTTGGCAGAAAGCCTTCGTCAGTAAACAAACCAACAGAAAAAACGTTAGAGAAATTTAAAATAAAAAAAACAAACTTAGCTTAGAAGTAGTGTCCGTGGGCAGTCAAAGAAATATGATAGCAACGATTGTAACTATTCAAATGATGGTTGTAAGTATTCTAATGATGGTTGTATCTATTCTAATGATGTTTGTAAGTATTCTAATGATGGTTGTATCTATTCTAATGATAGTTGTAAGTATTCTAATGATGGTTGTATCTATTCTAATGATGGTTGTAAGTATTCTAAAGATGGTTGTATCTATTCTAATGATGGTTGTAAGTATTCTTATGATGGTTGTATCTATTCTAATGATGGTTGTAAGTATTCTAATGACGGTTGTAACTACTCAAATGATGGTTGTAAGTATTCTAATGATGGTTGTATCTATTCTAATCATGGTTGTAAGTATTCTAATGATGGTTGTATCTATTCTAATGATGGTTGCAAGTATTCTAATAATGGTTGTATCTATTCTAATGATGGTTGTAAGTATTCTAATGATGATTGTATCTATTCTAATGATGGTTGTAAGTATTCTAATGATGGTTGTATCTATTCTAATGATGGTTGTAAGTATTCTTATGATGGTTGTATCTATTCTAATGATGGTTTTAAGTATTCTAATGACGGTTGTATCTATTCTAATGATGGTTGTAAGTATTCTAATGATGGTTGTATCTATTCTAATTATGGTTGTAAGTATTCTAATGATGGTTGTAAGTATTCTAATGACGGTTGTATCTATTCTAATGATGGTTGTATCTATTCTAATGATGGTTGTATCTATTCTAATGATGGTTGTAAGTATTCTAATGATGGTTGTATCTATTCTAATGATGGTTGTAAGTATTCTAATGATTTTTGTATCTATTCTAATGATGGTTGTAAGTATTCTAATGATGGTTGTATCTATTCTAATAATGGTTGTAAGTATTCTAATGATGGTTGTATCTATTCTAATGATGTTTGTAAGTATTCTAATGATGGTTGTATGTCTTCTAATGATGGTTGTAAGTACTCTAATGATGGTTGTATCTATTCTAATGATGGTTGTAAGTATTCTAATGATGGTTGTATCTATTCTAATGATGGTTGTATCTATTCTAATGATGGTTGTAAGTATTCTAATGATGGTTGTATCTATTCTAATGATGGTTGTAAGTATTCTAATGATGGTTGTATCTATTCTAATGATGGTTGTAAGTATTCTAATGATGGTTGTATCTATTCTAATGATGGTTGTAAGTATTCTAATGATGGTTGTATCTATTCTAATGATGGTTGTAAGTATTCTAATGATGGTTGTACCTATTTTAATGATGGTTGTAAGTATTCTAATGACGGTTGTAACTATTCAAATGATGGTTGTAAGTATTCTAATGATGGTTGTATCTATTCTAATGATGGTTGTAAGTCTCTAATGATGGTTGTATCTATTCTAATGATGGTTGTAAGTATTCTAATGACGGATGTATCTATTCTAATGATGGTTGTCAGTATTCTAATGATGGTTTTATCTATTCAAATGATGGTTGTAAGTATTCTAATGATGGTTGTATCTATTCTAATGATGGTTGTAAGTATTCAAAGGATGGTTGTATCGATTCAAATGATGTTTTTATCTATAAAAATGATGATTGTATCTATTCTAATGATGGTTGTAAGTATTCTTATGATGGTTGTATCTATTCTAATGATGGTTGTAAGTATTCTAATGACGGTTGTAACTATTCAAATGATGGTTGTAAGTATTCTAATGATGGTTGTATCTATTCTAATGATGGTTGTAAGTATTCTAATGATGGTTGTATCTATTCTAATGATGGTTGTAAGTATTCTAATGATGGTTGTATCTATTCTAATGATGGTTGTAAGTATTCTAATGATGGTTGTAAGTATTCTAATGATGGTTGTATCTATTCTAATGATGGTTGTAAGTATTCTAATGACGGATGTATCTATTCTAATGATGGTTGTCAGTATTCTAATGATGGTTTTATCTATTCTAATGATGGTTTTAAGTATTCAAAGGATGGTTGTATCGATTCAAATGATGGTTTTATCTATAAAAATGATGATTGTATCTATTCTAATGATGGTTGTAAGTATTCTTATGATGGTTGTATCTATTCTAATGATGGTTGTAAGTATTCTAATGACGGTTGTAACTATTCAAATGATGGTTGTAAGTATTCTAATGATGGTTGTATCTATTCTAATGATGGTTGTATATATTCAAATGATGGTTGTAAGTATTCTAATGATGGTTGTATCTATTCTAATGATGGTTGTAAGTATTCTTAT